TATGATACATGTTTCATTGAGTCTCAGATACTTTTTTGTATCCTTTATACTGTTTCCATATATTACAGGAATTCTACTCTTGCTTTTGGATGCTACCTGAAGTTTATTTGTGGTCTCCATCTGTAAAAAAACAAATTAAAATAATTATTTCATTAAATTTAGTAAAGTTTAACATATGCAATGAATTAAAATGAACATAAATACAGGGCTTCAATATATAAAAAAAACAACTATTAAAGCTATCATTGTGGCATATTAGCAATGCTTGAACCTGGGGTTAACTTTGTGAAACAATAAGAAACCAGTCTGTCTCTGCTTAAGAATTAGTTCACAGATGAAATATTTTATGTTTCAAAGGAAAAGTATCAGTTTCAACCACTGGGAGTTTTAAAATGACAACATTTTACTCAAGAATTAATACACTGTGTTCATAAGCAATCAACTCAAGTCAAGACCCCGTGGCAGTCAGGAAGCCAATTTTGTGCGAATAATTGTTTTATTATACAGAACAGAAAAAGACACAACATTCCTTCCTGCTACTAATGGAGGGAAAGAAACAACTCAGCATGAATCCACCTTGAGTCACTTCAGTTAAACTTCTCTCTTTTCAAAATGACTCGTATGTCAACCCTTTCACTTAGAATGGTTAGCTTACAATGCCTTGCAAACACATTCACATCCCACCGAAAGTTTCCTCAAGTGAAAGTAGTGATACTTTAAAATACTTTTACTCAAGCAAAGTAGAAAGCTGTAAAACTACTCCTAAATGTACGTTTTTGTCAAACAGTTACTAAAGTAAATGTGACTGAGTAAATTCAACTAGTTACTACTATCCACCTCTGGTCAGGGGTCTGCAAACTTGGGTTCGTGGCTCACTTAATATCCTAAATAATACTGGTTCAAATTGCTCTTCGAAGAACATGATTACAGCTTTAAGGTAATAGTTTATGGAGGTTTGATATAAGCATGACAACTTAGAAGCTTAGGCTGACCTGAAGCAGTGTGAATTACAGTGGTTTTATAAACCCGCATGCTCTAAATCATCCAGAGCTCATCTGAGCTAAAAGATCAGAGTTTACCACTATGTTGTGAATGTTAATATATACTACTTTTCTGCTATATTACCTTAAACCCTAAAAAAACACTGCTGTTTGTTGTGTTGTCTCCTTTTAGTGCATTAAAAAAAATTTTCAAACTGTTATTCAATTGTGATTGGTTTTTTTCTTGTTTGGCGGTTTAATGTAACCTGACTCCGCCAGATGAA